CCAATTACTGATGGTACTTGGGAACCGAGTCACATGAAGTACCTCTACTGTGCACTGAGTGAATTCATTAAGAAACAAATGTCAGAAATAAGAACAATACAATAAAAAGACATAAAATGTTAAGACTAGGAAGCCATCATAAGTCATAACTATTTAATAAATAAAATGTTAGACACTTGACTTTATTTTTATAGCCTTATATTAAATCCTTTTTTTCTTTGCAATTGCCAATGCACTAGAAGATGAAAAATATACTTCAACCCACTGTCCTGGTCTGACCAACGGGTTTGTTGTTGTTAATTGTTAAATATCATTCTGAACACACAGTAATTTAGTTATAATTTAACTCCTGGCCCTTCAGTGAAATGTTTACAAAATAATATACATAATATAAGAGGGCCTTCATATTAATCCATCAAAAAACCATCTTGCTACACTGCCCTTCTCACGAAGACACTAATGCCATAGCAATACTACTCTAAATTCTTTATCCCACTGTATTCAGATATATAAACATATAGAATGGAAAAACATAACATAATGTATTTGCATGTCCAGCTTCCCTTTAATGGAAACAGTGATCATATATACATGGAGTGTGAAAGGGAAGGAGAAAAAGTTAACTTTCAGTTGCAAAGAACTGGCTCAATGAATCAAATTCATTGTTACTCTGCTATGGTAGAATAATAAATAAATAAATAGGATATAGTACAGCTAATTTCTCTATGAAGAATTAGACATGGGCCGGTGTTTTATGAGATTAATTTTTAGCAGTAAAGTTTGCCTGCAAGCCAAAAATGTTCAATATATATTTTTTCTCTCAATCTTTTATATGGTCTTTTTTCTTATGAAAGATCACTGAAGTGACTAATAACAAATAATGAAAGAAAATATCCAATTTACTAGTGAAAAACAGTTTTTCAACTTGGCAGAAAAATCCAGTCACATACAGGCTAATCCTATATATTTTATTGCAGGTTAAAAGAAGTTATTTTTGACATCTTTGATGAAGAGCAAAAAGAGATGAAAGTAATTTATTTGCACTGCTGTTCAGGTGCCTAGTAGAATCTGGTTAGGATTTCACTCCAACTCTTTGCAAACACAAAATTTGTGGCAATCTTGATCATATATTCCTTCCCTTCGCCTTGATTTTTTTTAAAATCAGGGAAACATACCTTCTTTAAACATGACTGGTGAGTTATCTGAACTGGAACACTAAAGGTGCAGCTTTGCCAAGAATAGCCATTTTAAAAAGTAATTTCAAAAGAATTAATACAATGAATTCTGCTAGGCGGCTTGTGGACAAACGCTGACAACATTAAAAAAACATGCCTACCAGATGAACATAAGGCCTGTCCAGCCCCGCTTCCAACACCATTGTGAAGTGTGTTAGCTCTTTTCTCCATATCCTTTTCAGAGCAAGATCAGCAAGTGAAGTTTGAAAGTGTGAAAGTGGTGACATTCAATGCATAAAACATCATGTGCACCAGTTGAGAAACAAGTACAGATGCTGCTAGATGCTGGCACAATGTGCAACAAACAAACAAACAAACAAACAAACAAACAAACATTTTCTAAGCTTGAGAAATTGATAAGCAGGCTGTCCCAGAGAGGGAAGACAGCAGCATTAGGACAACCAGTGGCTCACTGGGTATTACGCCGTTCTCATTTATCCCTATTAACACTTAACCTCAACAGTCTACTGTGGCTGAGTGGACACTGACTTCCTCTCACAGTGTTTAAGGACATTATAGTTTCGAAGTTAGCTTTCAAACAAATGAACAAAATGTGTAATTTAGATGCCCCTCTCCCTTTTAAGAATGCCAAAAGATTCCATTTAAGTGCTCTGGTTTGCAGTCTGTGGGTAACAATTACATCCTCCTGGAGGTTTCCAATGTTCCCCTTTTTTGGTGTTAATGGCTGTGCCAACAGCAAAGTGGATTCAGTGACCTCAATGGTCTCTGCCTGGGTTGTGAAGTAAAAACGAGCTCTTAGCATAGCACTGCTAGAAAGTTTTTTTCTGTTCATGAAGCCAGCTTTATTAAGTGGAGGAGGATGAGGGTTTTGTCCTCCTATGTCAGGTCTTGGAAGTCTTTAAGCCTTGCTTTTCCATGATGTTCCACAGTTTGCGAAGATTGGACTGCGTGATGACGTCATCTGGCTTGAGCTGCAGGGCCCGCAGGTAGTTGGCCTCGGCCTTCTGGAGTCGACCATTGAGATGCAGGATGGCTCCCAGGTTCATGAGAGCAGCTGGGTACTGCGAGAGGGGAAAGGAAGACAATTACTAGTCCTTCAAGCTTTCCTTCATGGGGATCCCAAATCTTCCACTTATGCAAATGGTTCCATTTTGGCAATTTATACAAAATAAATGTAACTAGAAGGCTGGCAAGATAGTTCAGTGAACTAAAGCATCTGCTTAGGCAAGCTTAGGTTAAGTGTGGGGACGGCAGTTTGATCCTGGGCACCACATTCAGTGCCAGCCCTGCTCCCAGGGGTGGCTGAGCCGGCCACAAAAAAAAAGTGACAAGAAAGGAAAAATTATTTTCAAACATCTGATATCTACTCTGTGCTTTACACAGGACAGGAAGCTGGGAAATTGAATTTTTCTTTAATGAAAAAGTATAGGTAACATATAGAAAACTAGTAACCACATTCTAGCTGAATTTTTGAAAAAAAAGTTTCAGGTGAAACAATTTCAGATAGAAAATAACTTTAAATTCAAACACAAAAACATAATTAAATGAAAAAATCTGTATCTATCCACTTTTATCATTTCTTAGAATATTATAGCCTTTTTAAGAAAAAGTTAAAACATTAAATTATACTGATGACTTCAGAGTAACAACCCTGAAAATATTTAAATATAACAACTAAAGTTCTTTCCAAACAAAGCCCCTTTGAAAAAGAGCTGCTTTAATTTTTTTTTTCCAATTAATGCACCTGGATACAATTCTGAATTCTCCCTCCCCCAGTGCATGCCATAATTATCAATACACAGCCATTAATTTTGTGGCACAATGTGTTCCCAGACTGTTTATTATAAAATATTAAAGTCAAAAATATCAAATAGGCAAAATGTTTGGAAAAAAATGTAATCTTTTTAAGAAAAGTGTATTATACTTATAAAAAGTAGTTATTAGTTCACATGGATTTTTAACCATGGAACATAGCTACAATATGATATTATCGGACCCAGGCCGCGGGATCCTGAAGAGTCCCGGAGCGCAGGCCCGGCGAGTGAGTGAGACGACCCAGG